TATATATATATATACCCTCACTCACACATTTATTTATACCGTACACAGGAACTGCCCAAACACACAAATCACGCGTGCTCTATTACACTCGATCAACTCGTCGACTAAAGAAGTACCGAAACGAACTCTTTCACATATATTATTAACGTATAGGTTAAGAGTTATTAATTAAATGTTAGGTCGCCTATAACTCTAATGACTTTACACACCTTGGTTACCGTGCGCATGATATTTTTCTTAGGTGTTATTAGTTGTCTAATTGGATACCCCGCTTTTATGAAATAACCCATTATATCTTTGTTGAGCTTAACTGTTAGGTCAAACGTAAAGGATCAATAACTCAAGTCTAAATAGTTACTGCTTTCCTGTTATGCGGTAGAGCGCGATATTCGTTGGGCGGTCATTACGTGGATACAATAAGAGGTAAAGGCAATGTGTGTTTCGTATATAGAGACCTTTTTAACAGAACGATATTTAAAGCATTCTAGCCATTTTAATAAGTTAACTGATTCACATCCTTGGGCATAAGCCTCATTTCTCCGTGCTTGTTATAGAGACGATGAATGCAGTTAAAGAATGCACACAACATAAACAACATATATAAACTATAAAGCAATGCAACTCGACCTGTCAGCGTTGTTTTACTTAATTTTGTTATCGCTGTAGCCGTCGTCATCGGCATCGACGTCTTTGTCACCTACACAGCAAACACCGAATATTGTCATATATCAATATAATATTATTTTTAAGAGTGTAATCTCAATATATTTCTGAACTTTAAAATATTAGAACATTGAAATTGCGAGCTCACAGGATTAGTGAATTTAAATTAATATGTACGTCCTTCCGTTTTTCGAAACAAGTCTGACTAGCCTGGAGGCGATACCTCTTAAGTCAGTAATTAATTTTTACAGCAAACGTAGTTTAAGCTTTGACGTAATGCAGCAAGTTCATGGAGGTGGGGTTATTTTTTTATATTAATTTCTAATGTAGAGGGAAGCTCACTCGCGCCCACACATGTATATATACATATAAATAAATAAATATATATATATATAATTATATATATATAAGAATAATCCGACATTTAGTTTTAAACAAGCGCTTTCATCTTTATAGAATCTTCAGGTTGAGGAATTATTTTTTAATATAACAACTGAATATCGTGCAACCTAAGAACTTTTCTACTATATATATATAATACGTATATACCTGAGTATATAAAATCAAGGTGTATGTACTAGTGTAGGCGGAAATCACATCGAAATTGACATTTAATCACCGCTAAATCCTTATTAGCACGAAATCACCCAATTCCGCCGACGGCGAGCTACATTATATTCCGCGTTTCTACCGTATAGATAGAGCCGTGTTTTTCCATGGTTCGAGCAAAGAGTGAAACGCGTGTGCATAGGACGGAACGGACGTGCGTGGCTTTAAGAGTTTACCGCTAGTGTGGACCTGCGCATTCGGATCCATTATCTTTGCTCATGCCATAACTAGTTGATATCCGCTCAGGCACATGAATGGAATCATCGCCAACATTGCCGAGCACGCGATTGCTTTGGGAAGACATTCAGTGTATAACCTGTGTAACGGTGATAAGCTTAAGAAGTTGGAAACGTGTAGCGCGTATATATCGTGAGAATATTATCAATGGCTCATTATATATAACTATCACTAGGTATGGCGATGGGCTCTTAATGTCGTATAATTCATTAACTGTTTATCGGTTTGCATATTTGTTGTCCTATTTGCACTGTTTTACGAAGTCATTCTGGTGGAAGGCTGGAATATCCGGCAGTCACTGTAAGTGCTGATGCGTTCGCTCTTTCCTTTGAGAGATTTTTTTGTCTAGAAAATGCCTGCAACCATACATATCTTGTAGTCTAGTGAACTGTATTCGATAGAAAACTATTTTCTGTTGCCCACAGATGCTTTCTACTTCAAATAGATAAAGTGAATAGCTCTGCAGGTCAACTGGCCCGCGTGACTATGACGGGGGCAGGGAAATTGCCAGGGGCTAGCCTTTGTACATGCACATCCGGTAGCGCCATCCACGTTTAAGCTACCAACATCAAATCACGCCATTTTTGCCAAATTTCCCAGCACTTACGTGTACTTACAGCGAGAAAACCATAGCTTGGTGACGGTGGTCGCGGAGCGAACGTTCTGTTTGAATGACACATAAATGAGTGTGTATGTGCATGCGTGAATGCGTGTGCGCATGTGTTGTGTGTGTACGCGCGTGTGTGTCGTGTGTGTGTTGTGTGTGCCTGTGTGCTGTGTGTCGGTGGCTGTCGCGTGCGTGCGTCGCGTGCGTGCGTGCGTGTGTGCGTGTATGCGTGCGTGTGTGTGTGCGGGTGAGCGTATGTATGTATGCGTGTGTGCCTGCGTGTGTTCGTGTGTGTGTATGTATGTATGCGCGTGCGTGCGTGCGTGCGTGTGTGTGTATGTATGTATGTATGCACGCGTGCGTGCTATTATGACGATGCTTGCCACTCAAGGTCGTCGCCATTACATTGATCGGCGCACTGATTGTTTGTGTTTACGATTACGATAAAAGTGCAATTTTTATTTTAATCAGTGCCTTGAGTAATTTATTATACCATACATCCATAGACAGGTGTACGCCAAGAAATTAGAAAATATATTATGATATATTTTGATTGAAGCTTGTTTAAATCGGTCCCATGCGATATAAGACGTTCGAGCTTCCTTCCCATCGAGGTTTTATCCGAGAGATCTCCAACTCAATAACCAAGTTTCGCGTGAGTTCAGCACAAGGTTGAGAGACATATCGATCGATAAGCCTATTTTCAGAATACATGGTCATTTTTAAGTCTCTGCCCCCAACCCGTGTCACCACATGTTTTATGCATAACTTTGTATACTAGCGATTACGTTATATCTTCGAAATCCGCAGCGACTTTATATTACACGAATCGTGTTTTTATTCAAAATCTAATCTAAGCGTAATAACTATATAAGGTGTGCCTAGAGGCAACCGCGCTAGCCAGTGCCGACATTCTCGGCTAAAGTCATTTGCTTTGCAATCACTCTTGCCTAACTAGCTAATTGAACCCAAAAATCGCCTTTGGCAGTGCGCAGTGGAGACAGAGTTGACATTGTTGTGGTGAAGGTTTACCGACGATCACAGGCTGTGACGTCGCTATGCAGCGTTGAGCTGCCAGGTAGCGCGCGACGCGACGCCCATTTAAACCTGTTGCACCTGTTCCGCGAACCGCACCGTGTACACGAACTCTCGCTTCTAGGAGAAAGTATAACTACGCGTGCGCACTGTAGAATGAGGAAGGTGAAAACTGCTTATATATCTGTGTCGTTGACATCGACAATATAACACGTGACTGCATAAACGACTAGCCAGGACCGACAGCGTCTATTGTGTTGCCCGCTCTAACGCTCATACGCCTCAATGTAACGCTGGTTGTTAGAATGTTTCTAATGCGCAGGAGAGTTATATTCTGAGAGTTAGTCTTTATTCGCCATAAAACGACTCGCAGAAAATATCAAACGCACTATTTGTGTACCGGAGAGACATCAAACAGAATGCAGGTAACATTATAAACTAATTCATCTTTGCGCTTAATAACGTTGCAATGCTATTATCGCGCGGTTATATCGCATCAGTAGCATATCGCCGAAAGTCTCGAATAGATTATTACTTTTACTGAAACACTAATTGAGTTTAAAAAAAATCATAATCCGAAACGTGTAATAGCTCTTTATACGACGTCACGTGTAGCAACGTCACGCCGTTACTGATGTAATAATGTAATAAATGAAATAAATCTATTTAATAGATATTTCCCAGCAAATAGACACATCGTCATGGTTGCCAGCTATAATAATCAATTTCTCTTATAAACAGTCACTTCTGCCGGCGCCCTTTATTAGCTGTGCGGTGATTTCACTCGTGTGCGTCACGTTGACATGGACGCCAGCAAACAGCGAATCGCAGTCTCTACCGGCCAGACTCACGGGCTCCGTCAAAGAGGAGGATGAGAACAACCTAGATCAGTTGGCTTTCGGCTTCGACAACTTCAACTTCCTCGATGTGGAGAATGAAGACTACTACGACGACACCGACTACCCTCTGTGCGTATTTACAACGTGTCGCCATCTATATATACAACCGACGGCATATTATCAGGGGTATCATATAATATAGTCTATATATTATGACACTCCTGATATTATCATTAATATATTGAAGCAGGTTAACCAGGTAGGCGTAGATATAGATCAACTGTATACCTGCTACATGTACATGTAATGTGCTTTGTGCTTTGAATCCGCCTGCGTCTGTTTGTGTGCCCAAGCGATTACAAAGAATCGCAGCCGTGCCGTACATTCGATTTTTTTTTTTACTTTCTAGGGACGCCATAGTGGAGGCGTTTGACTTCGCTCAGTTTCCTATATTGACTTGCGATAGCTCTGTTCCCACGGGTGACGTGTTCGACCCGAGGCAGCAAGGAGTGGGTCAAGCCGAATTTAGAGAAAAACGACAGGCCAATAAGCCCGCTTGTAACAGGTTCGATTCAGGCGGAATTCTTTCCAGTTGACATATCAATAAACGTAACGTGTTGTAGAAAAACTAACCCCTGGGACCAAGTATATGTTGCGTTCGTAGACCAATTCGAAATTTTTAAAAGCATCGTCGACATGTTTTATGCATTGTTCTCGGTGTTCTTGTCATTCATATTGTTCGATATTATTATTAACGTATGGTTGCGCTCATTCACAGCTCGCGTTACTTTAATATGCGTCTGACGATGACTGTGCACGTTTCAGATGTCTTAATGACGACATTCCAACTTGTAATGTCACCCGACGCATGTCGAAACCTCTGTTTGGTTTCAACCCAGACGGGTTACGACGGGTGATCATGCAAAGACCAGGCCAGCTCGATCAGTGCGTAGAGATCATCCAATGCACGTGAGTATCCCACAGCGTCTTCTATAGCGACGTCGATCCTTGCGTGCACGTATAACACATCTCCTTTTCATTGACTGTATATAGCTCACACAATTACCAGCTCTCATCCGTCTTAGATTAATGTATATCATGACTTTCTCCTCACTCCTCCTCCTCCTCCTCCTCCTCCTCCTCCTCCTCCTCTTCCTCTTCCTCCTCCTCCTCCTCCTACTCCGCCTTCCTCTTTTCCTCCTCCTCCTCCTTCTCCTTCTCCTCCTCTCCTCTCTCTCTCCTCTCCTCCCCTCCTCCTCCTTCCCTCCTCCTCCCTTCTGCCTCCTCCTCCTCCTCCTCCTCAATAGACAAGCTCTCACTTTCACCATACCCATACGTATAGCACTACCTCCTCCATCATAATACAATCAAGAGCGTATAAAGAAAGTATATAATAGGTAAAGTAAGGTATATATACCTTCTTCATACGCTCTTGATACAATCCCTCTCACATTTCCCGCGCAGCCACGTATAACATACATTCTCGCCCTCTCAATAAACGCTCTCGCATTATCTCCGTGCACCACGCATAGCTAACATTCTCATCTTGTCAATATCTCCGTACAACCACGTATTTCACATCGTCTCCGTCCCAGTGCACGTTTGAAGCTGATTCGTAATTACGACCAATTTTATTTCCACGTTAGATTTCGTATATGCTATAACGTATACAAGAAAAACACAATGAATAATTTAGCACTTGGAGGCGCAGCTCAAACTCCAGGTGTAAAATATTCTGCTCGTTAAAAATGAAAGTGAACGAAATATACAACACACATACATTATTTATGTCTGTTCTCTGCCCGCTGGCATGCTTATGTAATTGCTATTGCAGTGTATTTCTCTTTCTCTCTTTTTCAATTAGGTCCCCTACATGTACTGTTGTGAAAGGCGCTTGTAAAGAGGAGTACAGGCTAACGCAATTCATTGTGTTCGACCAAGTGAACAACAACATTACTGCAGATTACATTCTCGTGCCCAGTGGTTGTAACTGCTACGCCGACGTACGTACTAATCTGAGTCCGTAGGTGCAGTAATCTGCAGGCGATGTAGCCGGTGAGCCACTGTAGATGCTCGTCGCAATTCTTGCTGATGATGGTTCAAGTACTCTTTGCAAGTAATGCAAGTAATCTTTGCCGTCGTCATCTTGCGGTATAGCTCGACTCGCGTGCGATATGTGTGACTGGGGTCATTTTGGGCGCACAACGTGATTTAGCAGGGCTAGCTGTGTCATTGCACTATCACCATGAGCTAGCAACGTTCTCTTTTCACTCTACTTGTCCGGTCACGGAGATGCTGGTAACTTCGCGACTACACGTTCGGCGATTCGCCAAGGTCGTTGGTGGGTAAAAGGCGATGGAACGAGCTCAGACGCTGCAGTGTTAAACGAGAAGGTTACGTTATTTAATCAATTATAGGTTTTTTATGCAGATGAAATAGAACATTGATCATGCGGGAATCAAAGACACCGCGAGCTAATCTACTATTTACGTAATTCTCTTGTCGATTAATATGTGGTACCTTATTGATACATATTGCATTACTGCCTATGTTTATTCGATAATTAGGTCTGTTACTCTATATATGCATCATAATGCATGTTTATATAATATACATATGTGCGTCATGTGTGTTCATGCGTGCATTTATATATGGACACGCACGCACACGCGCGCTTACATAGATGTAAGTTTTGCCATGTATCACACGAAGATACAGTACGATGAACTGTCCTCAACTTCACTCCCATTACTATACCGTATAGATATGCCACAATGATTGCTCTTTAAAACTATCCCATTCCTTCACTTCCATCGCGTGCAGTGAGTTAGTATATGGCGCTGGTCGTTTATACTTATTGCCCAGATTCAGCAAACATTCTTTGTGTTTCGCGAGTTGTACCATTACTTTTACGCTGTGAGTGACAAGCCAACCGCCCTGCTATAAGTTTGTGCAATCAGGAATCACAGAGTACTCGATGCAAATTGTATCGTCTTGACTCATACATAGCGCATTTTATCTTCATCGCCAAGTACCGAATTCTTTATGAGAAAATTGGCAATAGTTACTAAATCACAGAGCATATCTTACTGCTCGTATGATGTCTGCAGTAATTTCATTTTTTCTCGACTAGCTTGAAGTACGTGGTACACTGTTTCATGTGAACTAGTCATGGTGTACGTAGTCAAACTTTTTCTCGTGTTGGAGTATACTACGTTTTAATGCGCTTACACAAAACGAGAAGCAGCGAAAACCGTATAAATTCGTCATAAGCGAAGTTACAGATCAGTTAAGAAGCTCGTTGACTCTTTTATGCGTAATTCGCTGTTTGCCATTTAGTTTAATACGCGCTAAATTGTTTCCCAATCCCGAGAATACACATTAATATTACACACTTTAGCTGCAGTGTTACAAGCATGCGCGTTACCACAATCAAGATAATAAAACAAGTGATTATATATTCCATTAGGGCTGTTACGTGAATATTTTTAAATCTATGCGATAATAATACTATAGTTTGCCAAGATACGCCCAATTTCCATTTAGATCGACTAAGAAATCCGTATCAGTGAGCGTATACGAAGTGCTATAGAAGTTGCAAGTGTTTAGGTTCCTCTGCTGCACGTATTTCAATACATTACGTTCAAAACTAAGTGCGTTACCATGAAATATGACACAAACTGCCGGTTAAACCATTCACCTTTCACATGTTGTAAATTGGCTTTGATCTATAATGAGATTTCTTCGAATTGTCGGTCCGGCGATGCTCAATCAGAGGAGATTCTCATGTCCTAGGGAGGAATTAAAGACTTCATTGAAATTCAAGTAATATTTTATTCAAAGCAGCAATGATTTACGTTCACTACGAATTAGCGCAAATTGGCTCCCGTCGGGCGAGTAATCCTGACATGCCCCTTTATAAAGTCAATTGAATCGGCAATTTTTCATGTTAGTGCAAACGGAACTGCTCCAAGGTGTCGGAAACACGTATTATCTACAAGCAAGCGCCAACATGAACTCAGCAGGGCCGCAGACCCATGCTAAACAAATGTTGTAGAAGCTCTGTGTATGAACGACGCACGGTAAGTAACTACTATAAGTTTAAAACGATGTCATTTTTATGAAAGCACAGGGTCACCATACTTTAACTAACGAATTAGTAAATCGTCTCTGTGCGACGATAAAACACGTTCTGTCATACTTTCAATACAATTGCTGGGTGTATAGTTACGCTACTTACGCTAAACGTGGGTTATGACTCATGAAAAATAAGCATAGCGATGATTTAGGTTATAACTCATTCTCAACAGTAACAATAAATTTTGACAATCACTATCGTAACCGATGTGTGTCTCGTCAATACCCCATCGGTATAAACACACGCGCGCGCGCACACACACACACACACACACACACACACACACACACACACACACACACAACAACAACACACACACACACACACACACACACACACAACACACACACACACACACACACACAC